ATATTACCGGAAGAAGCGCGAGAAATGCGAACCGCGGGTACCGTGCGCTACTGGATAAGAATATTAGGCGGCAGGGGTAAGAAAGGAAGCGAAAGAGAGGGTTGCGAAGGGGAACAGCGGAATTAAAATGCTGCCTCGTGTACTTTCTTCTGAAACGGGGAAAAAAAATTGCAACCCCATCGCCACCACCGTACGACGCTGCCACTTGCCGAGAATTTATGAATGCTTTATTTAATTTAGAATTCCGATTCTACGTTTTCCCACCAACTAGTGTGCTTTTTCTTGTCCCGTAAGATACGACATTGAGAATTTATGAAAGACACGATGCGATACGAACTTCGGGCATTTGGTAATAAATCAAAAAAGAATTTTTCGTCGATCCGACGAGACTTGAGCAAACAGGGATGGTGGATCGGGAGAAGCGTCTATGGTGGGCGAGAGATATCGGAGGGGTTGAAAAATTAAACAAAAACAAAGGGTGCGTGCGCGATCACAATGAAGGAAATAAGCAGCCATTGATAACGCCTGGAATCAAGAGTCCGAGTTGGTTGACAATGGGATATCAGAATGGCCATTATACTCGGCGTAGACTCAATTATTTTAAGCCACTTTTGTACCGCGCTAATGAAGCGAGCAAAACGGAATATTAAAGCAACCAACCTCCTATCCTTCTTCCCTTATCTCTACCACCCCCCGACGAAGACTACGCGGTTCGCATCCAGTGTAACGTTCAACTTTGCGATCGATACCTAACTCTTGCGTACCAATTTTCGTTCGCAGAACCTAATCCTTTGCACGTTGTGGGTTGATTTTCCTCCTTATTAACCCTTCCGAGTACTATCGGGTATTTCTTGCCTCGGTCATACGGGACGGTTAGTTGCCCCGTTCTGAAAGGGTTAAAATTGAAGTGGTATTCAAAGAAGGGGGTAAAAAAATCTTTCAAGACACTTCCTCGAACGTTACGAGGCAACTTTGCCCGCTCGAAAATAGCGATACTACTTAAGAAGTCATCGTCCCTCGGCTTGTAATTTCTCCGCGGGCTGACTCGGCGGATTCTTCGGATTCGAAAGAAACCAGTTTCTTCCACGGCGTCGAAGCCGACGCGACGGGCCGATATCTGCCTCGATCCGCGCGATGAATCGTGGGAGAGGAAGCGTCTAAAGAGGTGTTCTATCGAAAAATTCGAACCGTTATCGGGTGGCTCGATTCCGGCGAGGGAGATAGTGGATTCGCGCGAGAGAAAGAGAACCGATGTACCTTGCGCGACGCTATTTACTGCCTCGTCGGTTACTTGTCGGCGGCAAGACGCCTTGAAAACCCTCAGGAAAACCTTGTTAATTAGACGTCCAAAGTAAAACGCGAGACGCAAGGCAACGGCTGAGAAGAGAAGAGAAATAGCGGAGACGTTCTCAATGTCGGGACCCCATAGACGTGACTTTAATTCCGGCAAGAAGAGCGACGTCTACCGAAGTAAAATCCTTCTCTGTACCTTCGAGATGGAGGAAGAGGAGCGCTGCTTTTCCATCGGCTTGAATGGAACGCATAATAGCATTCATCTTTGGGTCTTCTTTTTTAAATTGTCCACGGGAAAATCGCGAACAATAGACGCGACCGGTTTAATAGCGTGTTACGTGAATCAAATTCTAGAGAATCTATGGGGATCTACGGTGGAGAACCATTGGTAGAATAACCCTCTGCTTCCTACACCTTTCACTTTACACTCTACCTTCTACGTTTCACATTTTCTCTGTACCCAGCATATTCAACGTATCGGATATATGATTTATCTGTCGAGACAGGGCTTAATTATCCGCTTTTTCCCTTATTACTCGCCGTCGTCGCGCGCCTCGCGCTCCAGGCCGATTTATGACCGCCCGATAAAGCCTACGGACCGTACGTGGTATTACGTAATATACTCGTGCTATCTGTTCGTTCGGAAAACGGGCACAATGAATACGAAAGGGGAACAAGCGCTGTCTGTTGAAGCATTTTCTACGCTCGAACGGTTCGGTAACGACGAAGGGGCAAGATCGGCGTGACCACGGGGAAAAAAAGTAGTAGAAGGAGGCACAAATCGGGCGTGAAATCCAAGATTTAACCCCATCCTTTTACCCCGGGGGCGACGAAAGGAAAGCCCCTCCCAGCTCGCTGATATGATAAACACCGAAAATGACAGCGACATCCAACCGACGTCTTTCCCCTTTTCCCTCCTCTCCTTCTACCGTCTCTCGTCTTCCCAGGGCTCTTCGAGTTAATCACGTCAGGCAGGCAGACCCTCTGATTAAAACGGGCCTCCATCCCTTCTTATTATTATTGTTATTAGAGGAACTGAGTGCAGGGCACTCGGGGAATCGCGTCGAGATATACGGGATAGCTCCTCTGTGTATACATAGATATAGGAAACGCGTATACTGTTACGCACACGTGTAAAACGAGCGTTTTCTCGTCTCCTAATCGTCAGAATTTTCGAGATTATTAAATGGCTGATCTCTGACTAGACTGCGAACGAATCTTGTTTCGCCCGTTCCTTAATTAACTTTCCTCCCGGCAATCAATCGTCTTAGCAAATGTGCCATACAAAATATGGCTCTCCTCGTCACTTTGAAACGTTAGTCTGCAGCTGCGCGATTTCGTTATTTATTTGCTACGAAAATAATAGCGAATACTTCGTTCGATTTCAAAGTATCGAACAGCTCCGATACCGATCGAATCCCACCTCTTTCCCAGATACCGAGATTCCAGCGAGCAAGTGAACGCGAGTCACGGGACAACAGTAGAGTCGTAGCAATTTAGAACCGGTCGTAACGAGGCACCCTTGTAGCAAATTACAAATGGCATCGTCGAGGTATGACGGAAGCACGACTACCGTCCTGGTTGCACGCCTCGAAACGAGTCCTCTCCGGAGCTACGTAGCTGCCGGACGATCGGATTGCTGGTCCAAGGATGATCCGGTTTCACGGGGTAATCTATCCTCCGAGGGACCGATCATGCTAATAAAGCCGGCAGCTATAAGTAACCTGGAACGATCGTAAATCCTGACCAGGGACTAGCGAACACGATGGCGAGCGCGCAAATGCAACGACAGTAGCGTAACCGCGGTGCAGAAACTCGCTCGGGGACCCGCGGAGCGTTTCAAGCGATTTGACAAATACACGATACAATCCTGGCGAACGGGTTCGAGCAATATTCGTTCGTTTCGTGCTCGTAACTCGTCGACTGTCAGCCACCGAGATATCTCCTTTTCCCATGACGCGCAACTTTGTACCCGGCTGACAAGACTCTGTCAACGATAATCCGGTTCCTTTTCTATTAAATTTGTCTACCCTATCGCGGTACAATCAACGAGCTCTTCGATTCAACGCGTCTAAAAATCCGCTCCTTTCACGTCCAGATTTAACAAACTCAGCTCGTTTGCTCGACGCTGCGAGAAAATCTCGATGAAGAAAGAGATGCACTCGATTACGCCATTGTACGAGGAGCACGCAGGTGTGCGAGCCGGTGGGTGAAATTATCGGAGCAACCGGGAGGCCGGGAAACCGAGGGAAACGCGTTTGAAGATGTTACGTAAGGTCGTGGGCAAGGAGTACCCTAAGAGGAGAAAGAACGGAGGAAAGAAAATAACGAGTTCGCGCCAAGTTGTCGGGGATTACGAAACGGCTGCTCGTTGCTGGCAGCGATGATTGCTGCCTCGCATGGGCCAATAGCTGCCGCCAACATAACGAAGGGTTATGTGGATCACGAGTTTGTTATTGGCTCGTTTAATAACTCGTCCACACGTTCTACCTGTCTACAGCGTGCTCTACCATGCGTCGATATTCGAACGTCGATGCAACACGGTTCAGAGAATTTGTACGCGTAGAACGCGCGTCGCCGTTCCAATATAGTATCGCGTGCAAAGTGAAAGAGATATTTCAATGGTTATTCGCGAATGAGTCGCGCGAATCACTCTCAAAATGGGACGATGACTCTATTGCTCTTCTTATTGGAAATTCCTCGATTGTCCTAATTAGAACTTGTCACTTGTAATTACAAACACGACACAGTAGCCGGTTAATGAAATTGATTGCAGTATTAACCCGACTTACACCCGGAAGGCTGATAATAAATTTTCAATCAGGAACTTCGAAACAGTACCCGATCGATCGTGGTTTCCTTCTAAACTGCTCGAACGAGGTAATAACACGAAAAGGCGAATGAACACGTATCGCGTTGCAAGGTGCACGCAAGCGATTAAACGTCTCGAAAGTGCACATCTTAATCCCAGGACCTGTTCAGTCCGACAAGTCGACTCCGCTTTAGTCGCGACTCTAATGAGAGGGATCGTAGCTTGGCTCGAGGCAAGTTTTATTCGCCTGATATTCCGAACGCCTACTACTCGTTACTTCCACCTGTATTCCGTATTTACGCAGCCGTTTAAGCGTTTTGAGGGACGTAAACGAGGCTATATTAGATAGAGAAACGAAGCTACCAGGCGACAGTCGGAATTAATAACGCAGGAATACGCGAAAAATGGAAATTAGGTAGCCAACTATCTTATCCGACACTCGCTCTCGTTACTTCAACGACTCTTTTTATTCGAATCTTTAGGAGTAGGTCTCGCGAAAATAAACTGAGTCGTTAGAGTCGCGTGTAAAAAGTAGAAAAATCGCTGAAATCGTATGTAAGAAAATGAATTCTTCATCCGACAAGTCATACCGTTGCGTGATACACGCACCCCAGAACGAAGAATATATTATTATCGAAAAGAAACATTTGCGTGTTCTTTCAATCACTCTGCAATAATTGAATTCCGCGATTCGTAACGATAGTTTGCCAATCAACCGAATTGAGTCAAAAACCGGCTTCCAGTATGAATTAATTTGTTGTCCGGTTGAAATTACAGCCCTTCGCGCGTGTCTGAACGCTAGAAGGATAATGGATATCTCGGCAGGGAACGTGAGAACCTCGGCTACGACGGTCAGCTAACGTACCGTATAATCGATGCATTTATATTCACTCACCATCGATATCAGACGAGGATTGATCCACGCCTGCTGCATGTTATCGTCGAGATACCGTTTTGCTATCCGGGCGATGTTTTCGTGCGGTTCTTTCCTCGCCGCGGGTACTACGGGCGGCGGAGGATCGACGTTGACATTGTTCCTGAAACAAAACGCACGAATTAATAACAATTATTCCTAATAAATATTTTTCAAAAGAAATCATTTCCAACCAAGAGACATTCGTCCATTTGAAATTTCGTTCTCGGACACTCCATTAAACTGCCGGTGGTTCATCCATCATCTTACGATTCGCAAAGCCGATCGACGGCAACGGTAGGGCTGTCGCGTATAAATTCATAACAATAGATCGACGTGCCGGGGCGTATTAACGAGATACGTATAACGGGACGCGTATTAACGAGAGAAATCGATCGATACGACGTGATCTCGATAGATGACAAACCGACGGGGGGGACCAGTGACGCTCGACGCTCCACTTTGGCAAATGCTATTATTTACTTCGATGAGTTATTAACGCGAACGACGTTTGACGGAGAACGGCAATCCGCGCACGGGACCGTTGTGGGCCACGAGGACGCGAAATTAACGGTCTCCCGTGTTCTGGCTATGCATCAAACCGAATCTATTGTGCGACCGCCGTAAACCGTCACCGCCGCCTAACCAAAGACCACGATCAACGCCAGGCCGCGCTTATCGCCAGCTGAAACAGTTCGCAATTAGGCAACCGGCGACAATACAAGCAAGATCATTACGCTTCGTCGTTCGGTCGTTGATTATCGTACGAGATATCTCCTATGTTTGCCTAAACGTAATCAAAATCGGATTTTTGTTCGCTGAGCTAACGAATTTTTCTTTCATCCACATTGAAAATCTCGGGCTGTTCTTAAATAAATACGACCCCATCGATCACATGTATTGGACACTTTTATGAGTAACCGCGAAACATAGACGCCTGGATTCCTCTTAATCCCACTTTATTGTTATTCCTTATTTATTAGTAGCCTCGTAAATTCGTGGCGATTCTGTTCAAGGTTTTCTTCATGAAATTTCACGCACGTGGATTTCATTAGACCAGCGTCTTGTATGAAAACGTTCATCTGTCTGTCCAGCCCGAGTAGGATAGATCCGCGTGAGCACGTACAATGGCCAGCCGTATGAATAATCGTGTACGCGCGCGTATACAAATGTTACGAAACGAATATTATTCTCGCATTCAATGGAGGAATTTCCCCGACTAGCGCTTTACCAACGGCTCTCCTACAGCCAGATATCGCCTAAGTGAATTATGAGAGTTTATCGTGACTCTGCGGTCCCGTGTCTGTTGTTGCCGTCGAGGCACAGCTGTCGCTTTAAAGCTTAAGTTGCTCGAACCGCGCTCGAGATGCCTGCAAACCGTTGAAATTATTGGCCCTTCCACGGATCGACGCCTAGGCTACCCCTCGTCTCGTCTATCGTCAACAATGCCCTACGAATTAATGAGAATCGTTCGTTCTACCCTGGCGAAAATTTGCGTATCCTCAATTTTAGGATTTAATTGCCGAATCAAACGTAAATCCTCCAAAAATTATAATTGAAAACAAAGCTTTCCTTTGCTCGAATTACGCGCCGATGAAAAGGACTGCGAACGGGTAACGAAATATAATGCATAATTCGCTGAAGGAGCAAGGTGCCTTTGCCGATGCGATTCACGTTCGTTTCCCTCTCCGCGGCAAATACGGTAAACAACTTCAGCGACATGCTTTGATCTCGATGTCTCGTGGTAGAACAGGTAGCTGGCTAGTCGAGCAGCATCGTACGAATTCGTTCTTTGTCGTTCACCTGTCGAGGCTCTGCATTTCAAGCGTGCCCCCCAGCACTTGGACTAATTATATTCCTACAAACGCGCGTATCCACAGCGAACGCTAATTACCAGGCTCCGGTCGTCCGTGTTTTATCCTTTCAACCGGTGTACCGAGATCAACGCGTAGAATAGTTAATAACAGAGGGAAGAAAAAAAGGTGCAGCAATCTGTGCGCTAATAAGAGACACGAAGGGAGCTCGTTGCCGATGGATAAACGCGTTGAATGCGGAGGGCAACGATGGAGTAGCAAGGAAATGAACGAAGTTAAAAAGTAGCATTAATATATCACTTACGCAAGATATCATCAGGAGAAAGTTGAAATTGAAAAATGGAGCGACTCCATTATGAATAATTGCAACTGTAACGTGTCTGACCACGCAGCATTCAATGCGTTAAGGTGCATTTACACATCAATGGGCCAAAGTCGACCCGTTCAGACGAGGATATCGAGGAACGGACCAGTTTCGAGATAATCTCGGTGGCTAAACAGGTGCTTCTCGAGATTCGCAAAGTCGTGTCCAAGATAAATCTCGACTCCGGCTATCTCTCGCCTATTGTTGACCGCTACCGCAGCTGTCCCGAATCGCAGCCGATTTTCTCACGGAAATTCACGCGTCTTTGAAGAAAAATTCACGCCGTTCGAGGCGCAGGTGTTGCAGGTTACACGGGAGCGAGTGCACGAAAACCGCGGAAAGTTTCGATCGACTTGGCGAGAAGTTATCCGCGCTGAAATGATAAATCGTGGCAGAAGTTTCTCTCCGGTGGATGAAGAAAATCGTAGCGAGTCGAGTCGCGATAAAAATCTAGCAACCACGGTTTATGTATTTCGACCGGGAGAACGATGATAAAAAGAGAGGCCGAGTTGATTTCGGTCTCGGTCACAATTCATCCTGTCAGGAGGTTGGCGGCGGACTCGGGAGTCCGCGAGGATCTTCCTCGCAGATTTTACGATCCTCCAAACGATAAACTGGATAATTTAACGGCCACTCTCGCTCACTACCTGTCCTCGAAGCGTCGTTAAGGCAACAGGCAGCCGCTAAACGCAGCAGGTGAGTGCAATACCGTGTACGGCCTCCGCGGTGACCGAGATGATCGAAAAACCTATAAACAGTGATCGATGCCACGAAAATGGAATTAAAATACGAGGATCGTTTTGATATTATTACGATGCTCCTTAAATTTCGTTTCAAAGCAATGTCCATTTGCTCGTAACATAAAACACTTGAAGAGGGGGAACAATTCCTAGAAGCAGCAAGCGTGCTATCGAATAATCTCCCTGCAGGTGTATGTTTCGCGTCGAAGTAACAGGCAGCCGGGTTTCCGCGATAATGCGAGTCGATGCTGGCAAATGCTTCAAGACAAGCAGACACGCACGATATGCAAATTGGCGTCGAGCATTCGGCGCAACGGCGTTAGCTAGCCGCGTCTTCTACGGTTTCTCGCTAACTCGCAGCCTAATCGCGGAGGAGTGTATTAATCGAGCCTGCCGGCGCGGCACGACGCGACGGTATAGCCGCGGTAAACGATCCCGATTATGCGAGCAGACCGCGCGAGTACGCGCCGCGTAATGCTCGATAATACGCGGTTTCGCAAGCGGATCCGCAACGAACCCATATCCGCGTACAAATCGTCGAGATCTTGCCTCGTCTTTGTAGCTCGTTCACGCGTTACCCGGCACGGCTATTGCCAGCTAACGAGACGCTTTCCTCCTATCGATTCCCGCAGCTTCCGTGCTCGTAATTTCAACGCCCTTCCTCTTCGCCCCGCCAACATACACCTCCAGCCAAGTCCTGGCAATTCCGAAAGATTCCGACCGAACCACGTATCCGGTGTAACAAACTCAATTTACTCCGACCTTCCTATAAGTCTGACTTCCCAGGTATACATTCAGCGGCGTTTGAAGAATTCTACTTATCTTTCCTAATGTTGATTAAGGAACTTCTAATTTAAAAATGTTTTCCTTTCGTCAATGATCAATAATAATTTCCTAACTAATCCCACATAAAAATCATCCTAAGAATATGATTCCAACCGAAACCGTTCATTTGATGGACTGCCTAATATCAGCTCCCGAGGGAGGCCGATTGTCCGTCAAACGAAAGGAACCAACCTCGAACCCTTTTCACCCTACGCCTTAATTCATCCAGCCTCGGAAAGAAACCTGTTATCCGTTGACGGGTTAGAGTTTGATTATTGGTTCGACGAGCTGTGGCTCCTCTAAAGGAAATCCTGTCTGAACGGCACGGAACGAGATCTCTTTGGACATACGTCGAACGTTTGCTGGTGCTTGTCGCGTTGCAATGGAAGAAAAGAGGTCGCGTGGTCGGTTGTCGATCGAACGTCGAAAGCTTACACAGTGAACGATATCGTTTCCGTTCCGAGCACTGTCGCACACGCGTTCCAACCGACCACCGATCGGACAATCGTTGGCATTGAAGGGAGTACAGGTAAAGTACCGAACGAAATCGTTAAGCGATAGTATCCGAACGATCGCGGTGCGTGGTCGTCGGTGCCTTTGAGAGATAAGACGGCTCGTAAATCCGTTAAGAAGCACGATATCGATCTGCCATTGGACGAACCATACTCGACTATACGATACAATCGGGTCCACTCGTCAAACACACGTATCCCTTTATTTCTCTCTTTTCCTTCTCCTCTCGTATTCATCGCACGGACAAACCAACGACTCGCGACCTAAGTCACGATAGAAATAACTTGGAAATCGTTGTGGCTCCCATCGGTTTGATATGAATTTATTTCATTCAAGATCCTGGTTACGCGCGAACGAGCCGAAGAGCGTTCAGGTAAAGATCCCATGAAAACCAAACGAAGGTAAGCGCGACGAATGATAAATAGACTATCAGATCGTATCGGCACGCCAGCATCCCCAAGGCTTCTCTCCCCTTAGCCTGCTTTTCTCCACCCTTTCCATCCCTACGTCTCTTCCCTTCTTTTCCCGTCTGCAGTCTGCCACACGTCGGCCGCTATCCTATCGAAGAAATACCTGTAATATCCGAGTATCGTGGTTGTAAGTAGGTACTCGTACAGTTTGCCAGCATCGTGTGCTCGTCGATGATAACGATAATCGGGCGGGATACTCCATTCCGTTTTTATCTTCGACGCCACCGTTCTCTCTCCCCCCCTCGTTGTACTTCTTTTACACTTCGAACCATCTCGCGACAAACTAGCTTCGTTGAAATTCCAGGGAAACGAGCGAGACATTTTCTGAAAACTTCCAACGACAATTTCCATTTTCCCCTCGGTCTTTCTGCTCGACGAGGGGATGATCTCCGGCGCGA